GAAATGTGGACTGGGTGAGAGGCTCTCTGGCGAGCCCCTTGGCATTGGCGCTAGCGACCCCCTGGGCATGTCGACGATGAGGGGCACAACAACATGTGGCGAGGCTACTTTGGGCGGTCGCGCTTGAACCTTCATCTAGATGTGTCATTGTTAGCCTTGCGTGATGGGCTTGATGGCTAGGCTCTGTGACAAGGTGTGTTGGAGGTTCCAAGTGACAGCTTAGTGCTTCGGCGTCGGCGGCGGCTTGTAGTGCCTCAAGATCGGTACTATCCAGATCACAACAGTTCCCTATGATTCCATAGTGGGTCAGCCCTTAGAAAGCTTCTTTTTCCATCGATTTTTGGAACCTTCTAAATCGTGTCCCTAGTTTGGACGCACGACGCTACAAAATTGATACAAGCTGGACGTGCGACCGTGCAATGCCGAAATTACAATGTTGCAAGGCATGCCAATAAATATTGCAACAAGGACGCGCAATGCTACAAGGCTAGTCGTAGCAGGTTCAAGGCTGATAGCAATGCTGCAACGAGCATCTTCGTCGGCGAGTGCAACTTACAACAGAGAGATATGGATACCATTTTGTTCAAACAATAAGAAAAATGTTTGATTACATGCATATTTAAATGTTATAAGGACAAAGTAGTAGGAGAGAAAAATTGTTGAGATTTTTCTTTTGAGAAAAATTGTTGAGATGGTGTTGAAAAATGTTGCCGCAGCGAGGTAGAAACGCCATAGTGTGCCATTTTAGAGGGTCGCTTCTATGGTTCTAGTGGGCTGGGCTGTCTCATCAGAACGACTAGAAAGCCCTACAAACCGGCCCGGCCCACACTCATATAACAGGGTCGAGCCCGCCACGTGACGCCGCGTCCGCCATCAAATAACCACCATAGTCCAAGACAACTACGAACCGCGTACCGAAATTACCTCATTGGACGGCAGAGTGTCGTCATCGTGAGTAATTTCCCCGATAATAAACGCCCAAGTAAATCAGGAAAACAATCTGCTTCCCTAATTAGCACATCATCCAACGGTCAAATCGAGCTCGCCTATATCGCGGGCGGCGTATATTCACATGCATGTCGTCACCTTGTGCCAGAGACAGCCGTTTTCACCTCAACCGATCGCCTATGTAATTGACTACTATAAACCCTAATCAATGGCGATTCCTGGCTACAGCAGAGCTGTTCCTCACTTCCTCCCTCTATATAAACCCCCTGCAACCACCGTAGTCCGTAGCTAGCTCCGAAGCTCTTCCGTCCGTTTCTTGGTCTCTTCTCCCTCGCGCCATCGCCCACCCGACAGCCTAAGCCATGAAGCGGGGCGCCGCTGTCCTGCTCGCCGCCGTCGTGGCGCTGCTCCTGATCTCGGCCGTGCGGGGCGAGGACGAGTGCGGGTCGCCGGAGTCGGCGGCGCGCGACCGCGCGCGGGCGAGGCCTCTCAAGATCGCGGCCTTCTTCTCCATCCTCATCTGCGGGGCTATGGGTTGCTCCCTGCCCGTGCTGGGGCGACACGTGCCCGCGCTCCGGCCCGACGGCGACGTCTTCTTCCTGGTCAAGGCGTTCGCGGCGGGGGTAATCCTCGCCACGGGGTTCATCCACATCCTCCCCGACGCGTTCGAGAACCTCACGTCGGACTGCCTGCCCGCCGCCGGGCCGTGGAAGGACTTCCCGTTCGCCGGGTTGGGAGCCATGGTCGGCGCCATCGGCACGCTCGTGGTCGACACCCTCGCCACGGGGTACTTCACGCGCGCCCACTTGAACAAGGACCGAGCCCACGGCAGCAGCGCCGCCGTGGTGGACGAGGAGAAACAGGCTGCTGCTGCTGCCGCCGCCAGCGAGTTAGCGCGCCACTACCACGACGACGGGGAGCACGAGGGACATGTTCACTTGCACACGCACGCGACCCATGGCCACACCCACGGGTCGGCGGCGCTCGTCGCGGCCGTTGGCGGCGCCGAGGACGAAAAGGACACGATCCGGCATCGCGTAATCTCTCAGGTTGGTTAGAGAAATTAACAGATTCTTGTATCCTGTTTTTAGTAATCTATTTTTGACAATAATTAACGATGTTGTATTGTAGGTTCTTGAGCTGGGTATTGTGGTGCACTCGGTGATCATCGGCATCTCCCTCGGCGCGTCTCAGGACCCGGAAACAATCAAACCTCTCGTCGTCGCCTTGAGCTTCCACCAGATGTTCGAAGGAATGGGCCTTGGTGGCTGCATAGTTCAGGTATACACACCCGCACTCCCTTCATTTATACTCCCTCCGTCTCATAACATAGAACGTTTTTCGACATTAGTGTAGTGTCAAAAAAACATCTTACATTATGGGACGGAGGGATTAGTTATTGCCGTGCACATGCGTGTTGGTTTTTATAGTTGCGAGCTTTGTCACAATTTCTTAAAAAAAACTCGCCAATTACAATGTAAACACACTATCACACACACACACACACGCATACAACACCTAGTGAAGATCAGGTCGAAGCTGCGGAGTACAACTAATAATCAGAGTTCTTCCAAAATAGTGAAGTTATAATTAATACCAAAAGAGAGCAATACATATAGACAAAATATCTGCCGGTAATCCCAAATTATACATCTTGATCAAAACCAAGCATATTTGACCAGTCACTCGTGGAGCAAAGGTACTCTACTCTCTCTTTTTTTGAACACAAAGGTGCTACTCTACTTGACTTGCTTGCCTATTTCTAAAAGAATAGAACAATAGGCCGAGTCTTTCCATGTATGAACTTTTTAACGGATGGCTGTATATGCATAACTGAAACTTTGCATGTATGGTCTCCATCAAAAGTGGAAACGCCCATGTAAACAAACACTGGCTAGAACTTGTGCTTCACAAAGGGTGGAATTCTACGATGCTCTTCCGTGTAAAGTTCTAGCTAGAGAACCATATATACACGCATATCTAGATAATATATGTCTGGTAGTCATGAGAGAGGAGAAAGTAGAGCAGAGCACTTCGGGTGGCCTGCAGAACAAAGCAAATGAATCAGTAACTGCATATGTCATCAGATGTTTGAGAACAAAAAATTGACCCACTTTAACAACTCCAAGGAATCCCCTGCTAGTTTTCACCCACTCATTTTAACCAGAAAATAATATCCTCTCAAGACCACGATTAATCATTAGCACCATTCCATCGATAACCTGGTATGTCCGAATTTTGTCCTCATTATTTTCTGACGATGATGCAGGCAAAGTTCAAGGCTAGGTCCATTGTGACCATGATCCTCTTCTTCTGCCTGACAACGCCGGTGGGCATCGCCATCGGCTTCGGCATATCGCGAGTGTACAACGAGAACAGCCCGACGGCGCTGGTGGTGGAGGGCAGCCTCAACTCCGTGGCAGCGGGGACCCTCGTCTACATGGCCCTCGTCGACCTCCTCGCCGAGGACTTCATGAACCCAAAGGTGCAGAGCAGGGGGAAGCTGCAACTCGGTATCAATGTCTCCATGTTGGTCGGTGCAGGCCTCATGTCCATGCTCGCCAAATGGGCCTAGCCGGAAGCCAGAAACATGAAACAGTTTTGCTCCATGACATGAGTCCAGGATATATATATAGATTTACGTATATTGGATCATCGAGGCTGAAACGATGTAAGCTTGGCACATATTCTTCATCTACCCAAACTGGTAATGCCAACCCAGTAGTGTAGGCATCTAAGCAAACCAGTAATGTTGGTTTTGGACCAAGAGTTTGGGAGGTACGAAAAGTGTGTGTGCTTATCACAAGGGAAATCTACATTATGTCGTCACCTTTGACAAGCCTTTCAAATAAAACCGTTGCAAATAATTTCTTCAAATAAATGATAATTAACAGCAATTACGCCATCCACAAGCCTAGCAAATAAACAGCTAGAGGGATCATCGTCCCAAATACAAGAAATATGATTGATAAAGTAAGAGTTAGGCCATTAGCCTCACATGGACAATGCTTGAATTCCACCTTCCCTAATTGATGTAACCGAATCCACGATTTCTGCAGACACGGCAGCTACAGGATCCCACCACTGAGATTGTCCCATACAGAAATTAACGATCTCCAGACAATCAAACTCCACTACGACTTCATGAATACAAAGAGAGGAAACCATGGCGAGGCCATCTTTTGTCACAAGTGTCCATGGTTTTTACATTAGCCGTGGACTACATATGAAGTAAAATGAGTGAATCCACACTCCAAATTATGTCTATATATATCTGAATGTAGTCTGTATTGAAATCTCTAAAAAGATTTATATTTAGGAACAGAGGGATATAGTACTATGATTCCATGACTCTAGCACAAAGAGAATTGGGTCGATTAACAAGTATACATTTCCCGCAAAAAAAAAGATTAACAAGTATAGATGCTTATTTGGCAAGCATTGCAAGGTCAAAAGAGTGTAAGTCACGAAATCCCATGCTCCCATTTTTTCAGCACACTTTCACCAGGCGTACCAATGCATTTCCTTCTCATCTCTATCATCACCCCACTAGAAACCTGCAATAGTATTCATTATGTCCTTGCAGAGGCCCTTAGTAATTTTAAACACTAACATTGCATAGACCATAATGCATTGGCCACAGTCTTAATTAGGATTTCCTTTCCACCTAGCGATAGGTGTTTTTCCTTCCAACCCCTAATTCTTTTCAAAAAGTGTTTATAAAAGTCACACCTATCTGCCCCCACAATGCAGGCAGACAAGTACTTATCTGATAAAGCCTCATTATCAATATGCAGTTCATTGCAGATCTCCGTCTTTAGCATGACATTTGTGTTTGGGATAAAGAAGATATTTGATTTACCTCTACTCACCAATTGTCCTGATTTTGCACAATAAGAAACAAGAACAGGTTGCAAGGAAGTTGAATTTAACATAACCGATGTCATAGGAAACAAGGTCATCGGTCAATAAAAGGTGTCAAACTGATGGTCCATTTCTGCACACCTTAATCTCATCAACGCCACCAACTTGTTTTGCATGTGACATCATACTTGATAAGGCATCAACACATAACGTGAGTAAATATGTGATAGATGACCCCCTTGATGAATGCCCCTCGTCACCTCGTGGGTGTAAAACTATCCGTCTCCAAAGAGTTATATCATACTGTATATCTAACCAAACTAACATAATTCATAACCAAGTTAATCCCAACTTGGCCATCATAATCTTCAAGAACATCCACTCAGTTCTGCCGTACGCCTTATACATATCCAACTTAACCGCACAAAGACCATATAATCCATCCTTTCTACCTTTCTATTTTCGATTCGCTAGACGAACCCATGTGCCACCAGTACGTTATCAATGATCAATCTGCCAGGTACAAAGACACTTTGAGTTGGAGAAATGATTTATGAAGAATTGACTTCCATTGGGACACCAATATCTTGGATATAATCTTATAAATAGCATTGTAAAAACTTATTGACCTAAATTATGTAACCACCTCATGATTATCAGTTTTCAAGATTGCAACAACCGCAGTATTATTCCGCTCCTCCTAAATCACCCTCATGTTAAGAGCGTACAATAGTTCCTGTGTAATTTCTTCTCCAAAAAATATGCCAATAGTTCTTTTATAAAAAATAGCATGTAGTCCATCTCGCCCCGGTGCTTTGAGATCCTTAATACTATCAACAACTATTTTTCACATCCTTCGTTGTGCAAGGAGATAACAGCATATCATTCATCTTAGGGCGCGGTGACATGCGTGTGCAGCTTAACTAGCAGGTCCGGGTCTGTTTCATGAACTTCCGACGAAAACGGGTTAATGAAACAATCAAGAATCATAGGGTTAGCGCATCAGTACCTTCAAGCCAAGTGCCATGATTATTCTTGAGAAGAGTAATTATATTTCTTTTTCTACTCGCCAACGCAAACTCGTGAAAGAATTCCGTATTTATGTCTCTGTTTTCAACCAATTTATCCGCGATCAATAGGGCCAGTGAATTTCTTCTAATTCCAAAAATTATTCAACAAGCCCAGCCACTTCTTTTTTCATAATTTCTGTCTCACCACGCATAGGTGCTTGCATAACTTCCCCAAGGTCCTTTTAGGCGTTTCCTTTACCTCCCAGACTGAGCCGATCAACCAAATGCTTTTTTTAGGGATTCAACCAAATGCTACTTGGCTCTGGCTTTAGTTCATTTCGCAAACCAGCGTACACTAGTCGTACATAATGAGCCAGCCCATGTAGAGGGTCGCTCCTTTGTTTTTCTTTTCTGGTTTTCTGTTAGTTTTTTCTTTTTCCTTTTTCTTTTTCTTTTCTTGCTGCGCAATTTTTTTCCAAATGTATGAAAATTTTCAAATACGTGAACTTTGTTCGAATTTACATTTTCCCCTGAATGCATAGACTATTTTCAAATTCACAAATGATTTCAAATTCTTGAACTTTTCTCAAAGCCATGAGATTTTTCAAATTTATGAACTTTTTTCAAACCCACAAACTTTTAATGAATTCATGAACGTTCAGTAAATTTGTGAGCATTTTTTTAGTTGGCAAACATTTTTCACACTCATGAACATTTTACAAAACTCTTGAACATTTTTCAAATCCATGAACCTTTTCTGATCCGTGAACTTTTTCAAATGCATGAATATATTCAAATCCACACATGTTTGTCATATGTATGAATGTTTTTAAATTCCTACCTTTTCACAATCATAGAACTCCTTTGCAGAACTGCTATTTTTTGAAATTATGATTTTTTTTCTTATTGTGTATTTTTTTGCAAATCTATTTTTTTCAAATCCAAGTCTTGAATAAAATGTTTTTAATAATTATTCAGATCCTTTTTTTTACAAAAGTGCATCACTGACCGGTCAAACGATTGACAGTTCAGCCATCGACGGAGCGAACCAACCCCAATCCGTATCTGGCGTCCTTTGCGGCACTTATAGGCTTAACTGCAAATGGCGGACACCCCTCCGAATGCAATGGGTCGGCAAATGTAACATTGTTTGTCTTTCTTTTCACGAACGGCTTTTTACATCAACTGGTTTTGGGGAAGCTTCTAGAAGCTTCCAACTAGTTTTGTGTAGCTTCTAGAATCTTCCAACCAGTTTTCCTTTTTCTTTTTTTGGACCGGTTTTGTTTGCTTTTTTTCTCTTTTCTATATTACTTTTTTCTATTTTTAATGAAATTTTCTAAAATTCATAAACATTTCTTGAATTAGTGAACCTTTTTCAAAACCCGTGATTTATTTTCAAAACCTGAACTTTTTTAGAATCCGTGAACTTTTTCGGACACATGAATGTTTTCAAAATTATAAACTTTTTTAAAATATTGAACTTTGTAAAAATCCATGAACATTTTTTAAACTTATGTTTTCTTAAAAAAAATACAAACTTTGTCTTGAAGATTGTAACCTTTCTTTCAAACTCACAAAGTTTTTTTCAAAGCCAACATTTATTTCTTGAATATTTTTGAATCCATCAACTATTTTCAAACCCATGAACATTTTTTAAATTCGCAAAAAAATCAAAATTCGTGAACTTTTGCAAATTCGCCAACAAATATTCAAAGTCGTTAAAAAAATCGGTGAACTTTCCCAATTTTGGGTTTTCTCAGATTGTTTATTCGAGAAGAATCAATGGATGTATAAAGTTCAAGAAGCGAATACGTGAATTACTTTTTCTGATTTTTTTCAGACTTTTCCAGTCAGTGAACGTTTTTTTAAACACTGGAAAGCCACAAGATAGATTTGTGCAACGTGCATTGCATGTCCGGTTCAGGACTAGTGGTCGTTAATCATCGTCCCTGGTTCTCCACGCGGTCGACTTCGACCGGCGGCGTGTCAGCGGCGACGCCGGCTGTACGCGCCCGTTTCGATCATTCATATTGGGGAGCCGAAATGAGGCGGGTGGAGAGCGACACGTCACTGCAGACGCTCTGCTTCACACGATGATCATCCTCAAACCATCGTCGGCGACATACATTGTCCGCGATCCGGATTGCAGTCACCCTCATGGATGTATACTTGTCGGAGTAGGTAGGTGCCAAAATCTTCTTTCATTGCTTCAGCATTTGCGTTATTCTCTCGTGCGCACAACGGAGAAAGAGCAGCTAGACGGAGGCGGCCAAGTAGAAGAGCCAAGAAACTGATGGCGGGAGCCGAGAGCGCGCGGCCGGCGCCTCCGGTGCTGCCGTGGACGGTGCGGCTCCAGGTGCTCGCGCTCGGGGCCTTCTGCGACCTCTCGCAGCGCCGCGACGGCACCGTGAACCGCTTCCTCTTCTCCCTCGCCGACCGCCTGACCCCGGCGAGGCCGCGCCCGAACGCGCTCGGCGTCCGTTCTGCCGACGTCGTCGTCGACGCCCACAGAAACCTCTGGGCGCGCGTCTTCTCCACGTCCGCGGGTAAACCCGTGTTAGACTATGTATAGCTTCTGTACTTATGTACGTATATTGTACATATTGTAATACATCCATTATATATAATGAGATAAGTCACCCCTAGAGGATTGTGCTGGTTTCCCTAAAACTTATTGTCTTACATGGTATCACGCTAGGTT